CCAGAAAAATGGGTATAGGATTGGATCCTCACAGCCCTTGTTGATTTAGACTGACAATAGCTTGGGGAGGGGGGATAGTTTTGCTGGGTCAAAAGGAAGGCACTGACTGAAGAAAAATAACTTTTTAAAAATAACCAGGTTTATATAAAACAAATTTGAACACCAGTTTAATACTGTTGATATGATACTAAGAAAAGCAAGTAATCTGTTATGTAAGCTGTCCTGAGATGATTGTCGTAAAGGATGGCATACAAAGGTTTTAAATAAATAAATAAAGACAAAATATGATATTTCCATCCATTAGTTCCTGCTACATGCATATGAAGAGCAACTAAGCATTGAGTGGCAGTTTGCAAGGTCACTCTGGCCCCTAGTACCTTAAATCATGTTTTCTCTCCAATTTTCCAGTAGGATTGGAATGGACCACAAGACCTACAAGAATGGAATCATAATTTTTCACAAGGAAACAAAAAACATGGCAATTCACACCTCACAGTGGTGGAGGAATACCTCAAGTAAAAGACTGACACAAACGTTTTATGAATATTTTTCAACAATATTAGAACACATCTGACCTGACCTGCTGACTGAGGTGTGAAAGAGTCATGACTGCTAGTGCATTGGGTAAGGTCTGTAGTTAGTTTACGGACTGCTCTGGCATCTCCAAGTAGGGCTGGAAAGATGCCCCATCTGTAACCCCTGGGGAGCCATTGTCAATCAGTATGGACCAATAGTCTCACTCAAATGTGTATTTGAGTATTTTTTTGGGGAAAAAAATCATATATCTGAATGGTGGTTCTGCTGCTGTAATGACTTACCTCAGCCCAGGCCAGACTGTGGCCCAGTAGTAGATCTTGTCTCACTTCTTAAAAACCAATGGACTAATGATGTGACTTGGTACAAGACAGTTCCTATGTTCAGAGCTCTAAGAGAAACACGGTTATTTGTATAAATTAATCTGAGTATTAGGGCTTCTCAGGTCAGCTTTTAAAGCTTCTGCAGTTCAGAATGAGACTGGAATTCTGGGAGGGAAGGACCCAATCTCCCCTTTCTCTTATTTTCCCCTTGAAATTCTACCTCCTCCATGAAGGGAAGACTTCTTCTGATTCAGAAGCTTCTTCTGGCTCTGTCAAGCATCAGCTGCATCCAACTATAATGTGTAATGCAGTTCTTAAAAGGAAGATATATCTTTGTCAGCTTTGATTACTACCGATTGGAAACATGTAATCAGGAAGAATGAAAGTGAATCTATATTGACCCCTGAACAAAAAGTTAAAGGCAGATACATAGAAATTAATGCGACCTGAGTTAGTCATAACTAACTGAAGTCCCATTGACTTAAATTGGTCTGCTATAAGCCTGAAAGGCAACTTTAACTCTGAAGCTTGCAAGCTGTGTATGACAGTCCACTAAGGGCTCAGTTTTTGTTCGCTGTTGCTGTGAGCCTTCAAGGCATCTCTGGCTTGTATCAATCCTATGAATGAGTGCTCTCCTGAGTGTCTTGTCCTTGATAGCTCTGCCCAGCACTTGTAAACACAGGGCTGTGGCTTTCTTTATGAAATCAGTCCATCTTATAGTCAGTCTTCTGCCTTTGACTTTCCTCAGCATTATTGTCTTATCCTGTGTGTCCCTTCCCATGATGTGCCCAATGTACAACTGCCTCAGTTCCATCATTTTTGCTTCCAGGGAAGGTTCTTGCTTGATTTGATCTAGGGCCCTCTTGTTTTTCTAAGGGTCCAGGGTATTTGCAAAGTTCTCCTTCAGCAGCATGTCATGATTGCTTCCATTTTCTTCTTGTCAGCTTTTTTCACTGTTCTGCTTTAACAACCATATGTAGTAAACTGGAATACAATAGTGTGGGTGATATTGCTGTTTTGCTGGAATGCTGAAATGGATTGCTTGGTATGATCCACCATGGGTTTCTTACGTTTTTAATTCACTGCTGCTTTCTGCCAGTAATATGCTATCATCCATATATCTTAAATTATTGGTGTATCTTCCACCAATTTTCACTGCTCTTTCTTCTTATTCTCATCCAGCTTTCCTTATGACATGTTCTGCATATAAATATAAATTGACCAGACAGGGAGAGATAAATACACCCTTGTCTGATGTCTTTGTCTGTGTGAGAGCATTCTGTTTCTTCATATTCTGTCCTAACAGTCACCTCTTGTCCACAATGCAGGTTACCCATCAAAACTATCAGGGGCTGAGGAGCAGCCATTGCTTTCAGAACCATCCATAGCTTCTCATGATGTATGCAATCAAAGGGTTGCTGCAGTCTGTAAAGCATAGATTGTTCTGAAATTATTATTATTATTATTATTATTATTATTATTATTATTATTATAACATTTCTATGCCGCCCCTTGCCGAAACCTCGGGGCGGCTTACAACACGATAAATACAATGAAATACAATAGCACGTAATAATAAATTACCATTAAATACAAAATACAAAAAATACATTGATTTACAAATATAAGATTAAAATTATCAGTATAAAGTATAAAATTATCAGTATAAAATTGCTCTGATAGCCGTTTCCTTTTCAGAACCCAGCTTGGATTGCAGGCATTTCCTGCTCTATGTAGGGTAAAGTTCTTTGTTGCAACACCTCACGTATCACTTTGCATATATAGTAGTGCAAACAAACAAACAAACAAATGGCTTTTTAAACAGTGGGTTACAATATGTTATTTGGGGAAGCATTCAGCTTGGTGAATTACAAGGTAGGTAAGCTTGCATAGAAGTGAGAAAGTTTTCCCTTTATTTTAGAAGGATTTAATGTTAAAAGATGTCTGGAGTAATTTATGTTCATGCTGTATCTAGTGGGAGCAGTTTGCTATCTTCACTGCAGTAGAGGTGACACATTTGAGACTTTGCTTTTGAGTGGGAGTCAGTGCTGTTTAATTGCCTTCTTTTGGAGGCTTGCTGTAACTTCTGAAGTTAACATTTTTGTTTTCAGCATTTCAATAGCCAGAAAATGGCTACTAATACATATCTGTACAATGAAATCAAAAGTGAAATATCCAGTTGTGTCATTACTTTTTAATTCTCAGAACTAAGTAATTGAAGAGAAGAAAGCTTGCTCTCTTTTTCATGATTTGCAAACATAATGTATCTTTGATAATCAGCTGAGGAAGAACATAGAATCTGGGAGTGGATTTATCCTATTTTCATTGTTGCCTGATGTATTTCCTTTGCTCCTGACCTGGCTCTACAATGGTGGATACTTCAGGTGATCACTAGTTCAGCATCTCCCTGAACCTTCTCCAGAGTCAGGAGATCTTATGTAGTGAACATCCTGCCATTACAAAACAAGCACCTTCAGAGATCTTGTAGCCTCATCTTTATGCATGCTGCTAAAATGTGACATTATAGTTTCCCAGGGGGGCATTTCCACACCTGCATGCACACACAGAGCACCTATTCAGTAAGTTAGAGGTCCTTGCATCTGATTATGCTTCCTTTGAATCAGAAAAGGTGGAGCTGCTGTCTTTTGGTTGGTTATGAAAATTAAACAAGCTACACTATATAATGTAAAACAACCAACAACATTCCTGATTCTAAAGTCTCATTGATTAAGTTAAGGACATTCTTAATTTTCTTTCATTGAATCTTATGGAACATAAAATAAGCATTCCGAACATTGGTGACATTGTGGACTTAGGGCAGTATGCAGTGCTGGCCACACAGTAGCAAGACCTGTCACTAGTTAGCAGTTTTTGAAGTATTCAGAAATAAATGGAATGCTTATTTGTGAAATGGGGCAAGGCTGCAGAGGTTGCCGCTCTGCTTGATTAGCCTGTTCAAGAAAGATGTCTTTCTATTCATTTCTGGGGTTGCTTTAGGAAGCACTAGTTCCTCTTAGGCTAGAGGCAGGTTCTACAAGCACTATGGATCAAATGAAGGTGCAACAGATCTGTTAAATACTGCCCTTATTATTCAGAATACCAAAGTGCAATGGAAGGCCATGTTTTAGAACTCATGCAAGATGTTGCCTGGGAAAGCTAGTCTGTGCAGGTCTGCTTTGTTAGAACAGAACAAACTGCAGTGGCATGAAAATAATGTTTTCAGAAAAGCTAGAACTGTTTGTATAGCAGCTATGCCATGCCCACTCCTTGTAATTCAGTTTGGATGTTAGGGATTGATGGACAGGTAAGGAAACTTTTATTCGTGGAATATGTGTATGCTGCTGAGTCCTGATCACCCCTGCCCTGTCTGAAGCCCTCAACATCATAGTGCCCTTGCTTCTGATGGGGGGCGTCTGCAGAAATGACTTATTAGGTGCTTAGAAGCCTAGAAACAATTTTAGTTAAATTTCAGATAGTTGCACATGTGCAAACACAATTCACAATTCTTGAGATTCAAGCCATCAGTATTTCTTCTGGCCTGAATGGAAAGAAATTTTAATTCTTCTCTTCCCCAGGATAAAATGTTAAGAACTTATTTTTAGCAAATGCTTCCCATTTCTCATACCATAGCAGTCCTACAGTTGCTAAATAAAGTCTAGCAAGAGTAATGTGCTCTGAGGTTGGAGCAGAGAGACTGAATTTGGAGTCTTTCCACCTTTGTCACTTTCCACAGACAGGGAGAAAGTACCAGGCCAGCTGCAGGCTGAGGTCACAGGTGTGCCCTTGGAGGCAGCCTTTTCAGGATGTTCCAGGGCATGGAGCAAAGGAGCCAGGCTCCACCAGCATATATAGTATAGGCAGTTCCTCGGCTTCCCCTCCCTGCACTCTCAGGCAAAAGAATCAGATGGCTGAAGTTGGCTGCCTAAGTCTTATGCAGGGCAGGGGTACTTGGCCATGCACCTCCTGCCTTCCAACTCTCCCACCTCCTCAAGGTTCAGAGGGTTGCAGGCAGGCATATTGGAATATGCTGTTATTTTTTTCCTGTCATCAAATTCTAAATTTCTAGGAAACTGCACAATTTGTCTGATCATGTATTTGTTACCATTCTGCCCATACTTAGATGTCATTTTATTTTCTCTCCAGCTATCTGCATCATATTGGTGCATTTATTGATACGATACAGACTACATTTCTTGCCAGAGAGTGTTGCTGTTGTTTCTTTAGGTGAGTACCTATTACAGTGCGAAAACTTAACTGTAGATCTTGTATTCTAATTGTTCAGGCAAAAGATGGTCTCTGACATCCATTCCAGAATCCTCATTCTGAATCCTTTATGTTTTATGCTTTGTATTTTTTCATTTCCATATCTATGGAACAGCCACCCCACTGCAGCCTGCCTGGCCAACCTTGTCATCTCTTTGGTGCCAGGTTAAAGAGAGTCCTTAATGCCAAGGCTTTTAAAGGTCTACTTGGCTACCCAGGGGATTTCTCATCCCAGATATTTTAGTAAAAATTTGGCTTGAGGGGATTATCCATCCCAGGTGTTTGACTTTTTACAGGGTCATTCTTTACTGTATGTTTTCACTGTTTTAAATGTTTAATACTTATTTGATTTTATGATATTTGTATTGTATTGTTTTGGTTTTATGGATTGTTATAGACCTCCTAGATATCATCAGCTATGGGGGATATAGCAATGAAATAAGTATAATTGTCATTTTCTCAAAGAATCTCAAGGCAACATTTGTGTCTCTCCCTTCTCCTTTTACTTTCATAGCACCTGAGGCAAGTTAGGTGGAAGAGGGAAAGTGGCTGAGTTCATTCAGTGAGTTTCATGGCTAAGCTGAGTTGAAGTTCTTGGTCATAGTCTAGAACTCTAACAAGTAGGTCACACTGGCTTCCTACAGAACATAATCAATGCACAAATGTGTTGCAGGATGGAGAAGGCAGGGCACAGGCTGTCCTTACGCATGGGGAAAAAGCAAAATCCAGGCACTTGCCTACGCATTTGGCCTCTGCTGGGAGGGGCCGTTAACAAAGGCCTTCTTGGTGCTGCTCATTATGCAAGGCATGCTCATGGCTGAAGGTTTTCCCAAAGATGCAGGGTGGATTCCCCCCCCCCCCCCAGTGCTTTATTTGTCCCTGGGAAGTGTTCCAGTTTCCTAAGTTCATAAATAACAATGAATGGATGTCAATTGCAAATGCCATGTTAGGCACGCTTGGCAGTTTCAAGTTTGTAGAAGAGTGGTTGTCAGTATATCACACTTAGTCCTTTGGGTTGTTCCAGTTTATTGGTGTTTCAAAGTAATTTTCAATACCACTGTTTGTTTTTTCAATTTGAATTCTGTAATTAAATGCCAGTATCTTTCCATTTTTCCAAGTATTAAAAAGCCACATAACATAACATTTAAGTGTGCACTCCTGTGCATGTTTCAACAGAAAAAGTCCTACAACTCCCACCGTGCTGGCTGAGGTATGCTGGGGGTTGTAGCACTTTTTCTGTCTAAATATGCGTTGGACTGTGCCCTAAATCATGTTAAGTGTGCTTTATTTCCCCCTCAAAAATTTCAGGTCAAATATTTGTGGTGTATTTTCTTAAAGTCTTTTCCCCAGTTCCCTTGCTGTTGGAGAGCATGCTCATTTCCATTGAGTGGTGTCCTGTGGCAGTAGCTGGCCTAGATATATACAGTGCTGCTTTATTTTTCAGAAGGAGATGTACTGCAACTAACTCTTCAGCATTCAGAGCGCTCTGTAGGTCACTGCATTAGGTTGGAGTTGCTGGCAGACACTTAAAAATGTCACTCAGGCAAACCGTATTGCAAGACGTCCAAATGCTAATGGCCAAGACGTATTCTGCAACTGAATCGCCTACAAAAATGTGACCAACAATTCCCAACGTTTTGACATATGATAACTAAGTTGGCTGCTGTGACAGAACTGAAACAAATCAAATGGGGAAAGGAGGTGGGGATATTTAAATAAAACAATAGTCATATTTATTTATTTTATTTAGATAATGCTTTTTTCTTGTAAGGAACCCAAGTCAGCTCACGTAATTCTACTCTTCCCCATTTTATCCACACAACACATTGGCTAACAGAAATGCAATAAAATATGATACAAAAATGCATAAATAAGAACAAAGAATTTAAAAAGGAAAAAACTTACAATATGAATAAATTAATCAGGGGTCCACAAACTTTTTGAACAGGAGGCCATTGACAGGTGCCAGCGGTGGCTGCAGGTAGCCAAGGTGGTGTCAGCGGGGAGGCTGGGCCAGTGTGTGGGGGGGGGGGCGCACGCACATGCACACGAGGTGAGACGGAGATGGGGGGCCATGGGGCGAGGTGCCAGCTTGCTCGCGAGGAGATCATTTTCTCCAAGCATTTCCAAAGCAACCTCCTTGTGAGCAAGCCATGCACGCACCCAGTGAGTGCAAAACCTGTGGGGTGGGCTGGTTAAAAGGGCATGGCGGGCCGGATCCAACCCGTGGGCCTTAGTTTGAGGACCCATGATATAAATCATGCAGAACAACAACAGCTATGAGGTGGGTTATGCTGAGAGGCAGTGACTGATCCAAAATCATTGAGTGGACTTCATGACTACATGGGAACTAGAATGCAGATCTCAGCTCACCCCTCTAATCACAGTGCCACACTGGCTGTCATGCCTCTTTTGCCAGGGAAGGGAGGCTCCAGGGGCCCAGCGTGAGAGCCCAGTTGGGCTTAATTTGACTCCTGGGCCTGAGGTTCTTTCTGTACCCTTAATCTGTTTTTCTGTTTATTAGATTTCTCTCTCACCTGTTTTTACTGCAAGAAACCCAAGGTGTCTTACATAATTGTACATAATCCCCTTCTTGTTTATATTATCTTCACAACAAGGCTCTGAGGTAGGTAAGGCTGAGAATCAGCAACCTAGTGATGTTTCTCAGGCAGAGTGTGAGAACAGCCTGCCTGGGGAAGGGAGGAGAACATGTCAGAGCAATTGAAGCAATAGAAATTGAATTTCTTTGCCCAGTAAGGGGTGACATAACTCTCTTTTACTCTCAAGGCAATCTGTATTTGAAGCAGATACAGCAAAGCTTCCTTGAGGGTACATGCCAATGAGCATGCGCTGAGAACATAATCCTTGTAGCCTAAGATCTTACAGCTGCTGCAAGATTATAGAGCATCTTCACTATGGTGTTATGAGGCCATGTCTGTCACTAGGGGATAAGAGAATGTCACCTTAAATTCAGAGCAAATTCTTTGTCTCTTCCAATGTATTTGAAAAGTTCAAAAACCAGATTTTGCTGATCTATTGGTTTGGTATGCTGGTGTAACTGAGTGAATGTTCCTATTAAAGCATCATTTTTGTATATTCTTGGTTCTTCATTTTTATTTCTATTTTAAGGTTCAATCCTATGCTTGTATAGGCAGCAAAAAAGTTCATGCTACAAGAATAGCAGTGTGACAAGTTCATATGAGTCAGTGAGTGCCTTTCCACTGTTAGACGTTGTGCTGGTTCAGATATGTTATATACTGTATAATATTATACCATAATTTGGAACTCCGTGAAAAAGCTTTAAAGTGTGCATACTTCCTTCTTCCCCATTTCTTCCCTCTATGTGGTGCAATTCCTTCTTTCCTGTACTGATATGAGGCAAATCCTAGCTTGTTTCATCAGAACCAGCCATCTGTGGTTTGGACTTGTCTTGAAAACTGGGATAGTTAATTGCTATTGATTCTGGTTACCCGTTCTGGCTTGCAGGGCATGTGCAAAGCACAGCTTGCTAATTCAGATGGAATATTGCACAATAGCTTTATTTGCTGAAATCAGAAAACAGGAGGAACACTGGGGAGGGGAGAGGAATTGTGAGCCAGGAGGTCTTTCAAGGTTCATTTTGTAATGCGAAACTGTTTTGCTGATGTCAGAACCATTGGCAGAGACCTCTCCTTGCTTTCTAGAAAAAAGTCCAGGTGGAAAGTATCAGCCGTTTGGAAAGCACCTCATCCTCTAGTTTTTAGAAAATGAAACTGCCAACTTGATAGTGCTTTTGTTTGAATTTATTCAGTTGGAAGACTACATAGTTAGGGTGACTGCACTTCTAAAAGGTTATTGGAGAGTCAGAGAAGGTACAGAAAAGAGCAGTCACAATGATCAAGGAACTGAAACAACTTTCAGTTCATTTCATGAAGAAAGGTTACCTTTGTGGCATTTTGGCCTAGGAAAAAAGATGAGGTGGACATGATTAATGCTTTACAACATTATGTATGGTGTGAAGAAAGTGAGTAGGGAGAATTCCTCCCCTCTTTCATAGTATTGCATCCTGGGCTCATCCCATGAAGGAGAATGGTAAGGGTTCTCAGGACAGACCAAATGGAATGCTTCATACAGTGCATAAACTGTTGAATGGCTTTAAAAGGGAATTGGCCAAATTTCTGGGGGAGAAGGCTATCAGTGGCTACCAGTCATGATGGCTTTATATTACCTCCAAAAGCAAAGAGAGCATTCCTCTCAGTACCAGATGCTGGGAAAATGAGCAGGAGAGTATTTTGGGGACTTAGGTCCTGCTTGTAGGCCTCTGTTTAAGCACTGTTGGAACTGAATACTGGACTAAAGAGGTGTTTGGTCTTCTCTAGCAGAGCTTTTCATATACTCACCTTCCATGAGGCTACTAAAGATTAGCAAAGGGTAAACTTATCCTGAGTGAATTTGTATGTTCCTCAAAAAATAACAAGTTCACCCTTGTTAGTGAAGAGGTTTCAATACAAAATCTCATTTTGTGTTTACAAGTTTTTGCAGTTGTACAATATCAAAGTGCAGCTTGAGAACTGTAGTTTGGAAACAGAAAACACATTGTGATTTTGTATATCTTCTTCCTGGTTTGGTTCTTTTTTTTTTTTTACATGGCCTTTCTACATAATGTTATTTGTTGTCTCTCACCAATCACAGAAAATAGTCAGAGATTGACTGAATAGTAGTTCATTGGTAGTAGTAGCATTGGTAGTTAAAAGAAGTGTGTTCACATCTATTTGCCTGTTGCTTCAAATTATTATTGTTAAGGTGGTTGATATTTGTGTATGACTTAACTAGAATAAAATCTCCAAGTGGCCTCATCTGACCAGTTTAGCACATGTGCAGAAATTATGTTATTTTGATGCATACATGCTCATGTTCTGCAGTTTGGAATCAATTTCAAGTTTAACTGTGAATCTGTACACACACTGATTCAGGCTTTTTAC